TGGTGGTGCTGGGCTCCTACCAGGAGTCCAACGGCAAGGTCACGGCCGACGGCGTGATTGGGCTGACGAGAGCCTTCCTGGCGGCTGGCGCCCACTGCGTCTTGGTCTCCCTCTGGCCGGTGCCCACGGCCGCTTCCAAGGTCTTTGTCCACAGCTTCTACACGGCGCTGCTTGGAGGCCTCAAGGCCAGCGCAGCACTGGGGGAGGCCATGAAGATGGTGCAGAGCAGCAAGCAGTTTGCCCACCCCTCCAACTGGGCAGGTGAGGAAGGCTCCTGAACGTGGCGCCCACCCCAGACCAGGAGGTCACTGCGGCTGTGAATGTCATGAGCCGAAGGTGGCGCTGGCATAGCTTGGGGGGCTGGGTGCTCCCCCTGCCCTCCCTTGCCGTGGGTCAGAGAGGGTGGCTCTTACCCCTGAGACCATGTGCAAAGCGAGCATGGCCAGCCCACCCATGAGGCAAGGTGAGGGACTGCCTCAGGCGGAAGGATCCACAGGGACAGCAGATCTCACCTCCAAGGAATGGCAACGATGGCACATTCCTTGGAAGTTGGATCTGCCACCCATGCTGCCTCCAAGTGGCCTCTTGGCAAAAAGGAGGGACTGCTGGTCTCCGTGCACCCCTTGGGAAGAAGTGGCAGGGGCTGCCTTTGGGGGTCTCCAAGTGTCAGCACTGGCCCGGCGAGATTGAAAGTGGGCCGCTTTTGCCCCTAGAATGCCCTCTGATTCCCACGTGATTTTGCAGCCCCCACCTTGTTCCCAAAGCAGATCAGCTTCACTCCCCCTTTGTTCCCTGGCAGGAGGGGGCAGCATTTTGTGGTTTGCCTCGGGTGCCAAAATGCCTTGGGCAGGCCCTGAGAGTGAGACTTGTCCCCGCTGCAGGCTTCATGCTGATTGGGAGCGACGTGAAACTGAACAGCCCTTCCTCTCTGGTTGGCCAAGCCCTGACCGACATCCTGCAGCACCCAGAGCGGGCGCGCGATGCCCTGCGGGTCCTACTCCACCTGGTGAGGGTGCAGCCGCTGCCTCAGAGGAGCTGAGCATGTGGGTGGCGAGACAAGCGGCAAGGAAGGGGCTGGCTGTGCTCACCTCAAGCCTTGAGCTTCTCTGGGGGCTTTCGCCGGATGTGGGGCATGTGGAGCCCCTCAGGAGCCTCCCTCTAGCTTGGGATGGGGCAGGGAGGGAGGCGGGAGGGAGCTCACACACTCTGCTTTGCGCATAGGTTGAGAAGTCCCTGCAACGGATCCACAGTGGGCAGCACAACTCCATGTACACCTCCCAGCAGAGTGTGGAGAACAAAGTGGGCGGGATCCCAGGCTGGCAGGCTCTGCTGACCGCGGTGGGCTTCCGGCTGGACCCCCCGGCCAGCGGGCTCCCCGCAGCTGTCTTCTTTCCCACCGCAGACCCCGGAGACCGTCTCCAGCAGTGCAGCACCACGCTCCAATCCCTGCTGGGTGAGGCTCGGGCAGAGGCTGGGCAGGGCAGCCTCTGGGCCCCTCTGGGGCACCCTCTGGGGCACCCAGGGCCTGGGGTGGGGGTGAGGGCGGGGCTTTCCCCCAGAGTGATGGGGCCTCTCTGCCTCTCTCCATGGCAGGTTTGCCCAATGCTGCCCTTCAAGCCCTCTGCAAGCTCATCACCGCCTCTGAGACGGGAGAGCAGCTCATCAGCAGGGTGAGTGGCGAGTCACCCCCCCCCCCGGAGGCCCCTCTGGCAGTGATCACTGGGGCCAGACAAGGAGCGCTGCCTGACGCCCACCGTGCTGCAAAGGGACACCATCAGGCTGCTGCCTGAGCACGCCCTCTCCTGGCTCTAAACACCTCTCTCTCTCTCTCTCTCTCTCTCTCTCTCTCTCTCTCCAATTCTCCTTTCTGCTTCCCAAAGGCTGTTAAAAATATGGTAGGAATGGTGAGTATCAGAACCCTCCCTTCAACCCTCTCTCCCATCCTGCACCTGAGTTCTGGGGCGGGGGGGGGGCGCAGCCTTCTGCTTCCCTCCTTTGTGTCCTTTTCAGCAGCAGCAGCAGCAGCAGCAGCCTTGCTTTCCACCCTGTCCCCTGGAGCAGCACATTCCTTGCTCTTTCCTTCCTCCTGCTCCTCCCTTGGCTGGCCTCCAGAGAGGAAGGGGGCAGGGGAGGGGGAGGAGAGTCAGCTGGGTTGGCCTGCCTCTAACTGCTTCTCCTTCCTCCTCCTCCTCCTGCACTCCAGCTCCATCAAGTCCTGGTGCAGCTCCAGGTGGGAGAGAAGGAGCAAGATTTCTCCTTGGCGCCCATCCAGGTCTCCATCAGCGTCCAGCTTTGGCGACTGCCAGGCTGCCACGAGTTCCTGGCAGCTCTAGGTAAGGCAGGGGGTGTGTCTTTGGGGGGCCAGCCGGGAGGGAGGGCAGGACAGGTCCTCCTGCTCCAGGGGCTGCCCACTGGGCCCCTCCCTGTGGGCTCCCGGCCTTAAGTCGCGTCTTGCTTGCAGGCTTTGACCTGTGCGAAGTTGGCCAGGAGGAGGTGATCCTGAAGACAGGCAAGCAGGCCAGCCGCCGGACGATGCACTTTGCTCTGCAGACGCTTCTCTCGCTTTTTGGTGAGGCTTCTGCCTGGGAAAGGGGCACCTTGTGGCTGGGATGATGGACACGGGAATGCAAGCTTCCTGCACGGGGAATGTCCTCCAGCAGCTGCCCAAGAGATTGGGCGGGGGGCACCAAGGGGCTGGGAAAGGAGGCCTGGGTGCCACGGCTCCTTTGCTCAGCTGTTGCTCTGGAACTGCGCCTGGTCTTTTTGGCAAATGGCAACCATGCCTGGGTGGGCGGCAGGACAAGCGGCAGCAGCTGGAGAGACTGGCACCAAATCCTCAAAGGAGGGGTGGGGTGGGGTGCCTGCCAGCAGCATGTGGCCTTCGGGGGGTTCCTGAGTGGTGAGCAGTGGGGACTCACACTTTGGCTCCAGGGGGTCAACCCCAGTAAGAGCGCTTGAGGCTGTTCCTCTCTGGGCCCCGGGAGCACCCCTGCTGCCTCCTTGGCTTTCATGGCCCTCTCTGCTTTCTCTAGACTCCACGGAGCTCCCCAAACGACTCAGCCTGGACAGCTCCTCCTCCCTCGAGTCGCTGGCCTCTGCTCAGTCCATCTCCAACCCTGGGCCGCTGGGCTACCAGAACCCGCCCTTCTCCCCGCCATGCCCCGACAGCCTGGGCTCCGACGCCATCTCCGTCTACAGCCTCAACTCCATCACGTCTTCCATCAGCTTTGCTTCCAAGCCCGAGTGTGGCGTGGCGGAAGGGGGCGGCTCCAGGGGGCGCCTGGACCCCGAGAGGCCCAAGAATGCCTATCCCCAAAGGGCTGCCCCGCCCCACGGGCAGCTCTCGCCTCCGGGCAGTGCTGTCCCCAGCAAGGAGGAGGAAGACGAGGAGGAGTATGAAGGCTTCTCCATCATCAGCAATGAGCCTCTGGCGACCTACCAGGACAGCAGGCAGGGGCGCTTTTCCCCTGACCACAATCCCTCCCGGACTCGTAGAGGCAGAGGCGTTGTGGTCTCGGTCAGTTCCAAGGGGAGTGTCAGTTCTCCCAACTCCCCTGTGAAAATGGCTCTTATTCCCAGCCCAAACTCCCCTTTCCAAAAAGTTGGGAAACTGGCCAGCTCGGACACTGGCGAGTCGGACCAGTCCAGCACTGAGACAGACAGCACCGTCAAGTCCCAGGAGGAGAGCGCGCCCCCGCTGGACCCTCGCGAGCTGGCCCAGAAGATCCTGGAGGAGACGCAGAGCCACCTCCTGGCCGTGGAGCAGCTGCAACGCAGCAGCCAGCTGGCACAGAGCAGCAGCAGCCTGGACCCCCTCCCCAGAGCCCCCCTGCTGCCCACGGGGCGTGCCTCTTCCTTCCGCTCTTCAGAGACCAGCGCCTTCAGCAGGCCTCCATGCTCCGGCCACAAGGGCCAGGCCTCCCCTGCCCCCCTCCGGCCAAAGCCCCCTGCCAGGAGCTCCTCCCTGCAGAAAGTCAGCTCTGGCTACAGCAGCCCCACCACCTCCGAGGCCTCCCACCGAGAGGAAGGGGCTGGCCCCCACAGCAGCCAGCCATCCCCCACCTCCGAGCCTCAGGGGGGGTTCGTGCCCGGGGAGCAGCAGCCTCTGCCGTCCTCACCCTTCCGGCTCAAATATCCCAGCTCCCCCTACAGCACCCACATTTCCAAATCGCCCAGGAACGCCTCCCCAAGCTCAGGGCACCACTCCCCGGCCGGCAGCACCCCCTCGCCCGCTCTCTCCTACTCTTCCGCCAGCTCTGCCCGCTCCAGCCCCGCCGACGCCCCCTCCCTCGACAAGCTCAAGATGGCCGCCATCGATGAGAAGGTGCAGGCCATCCACAACCTAAAGATGTTCTGGCAAAACGCCCCTCAGCACCCCACGGGGCCCCTCAAGATCTTCCGGAGCTCCTCGGGGAGGAGGGACGTCCTCAGCTTGCTGAACTTGTCTCCGCGGCACGGCAAGGAGGAAGGGGCCGACAAACTGGAGCTGAAGGACTTATCTGCCCCTCGGCCACTTTCTTCCCCTCAGAGGGCTGCCCCCAATGGACACACCAGCCCCCTGGCCCCCCCGGCACAGGCCCCAGGCCCCACCAGCACCCCAGGCCCCGGGCGCCCCGCACGGCTGCCCTCTGGGAATGGCTACAAGTTCTTGTCGCCAGGACGGTTCTTCCCCTCCTCCAAGTGCTGAAGCCCCCGGCCACCTGCTCTGCTGGTCAGGAGCCCAGGGCCTTGTCCTCGCCTGTTTCCTTGGATGAGGCAGAGCCTCGGGCAACGAGCTGGGAGGGGTGGGCAGAGGCGGATCCAGGCGCTCAGTGAGCTGCCTGGGCAGAGGCCAGAGCTGTGGATCGGTGCCAGCTGGCAGCTTGCCTCCTCTCAGTGCCCCCCCAGGTGCCGGATACTAGCTTCCAGAGTCACCAAGGACTGGAGTGGGAGGAGGGTGTTCTAGCAGGCAAGATTCACAAACAACTGTCTGTGGTGAAGAGGTACAAGCCTCTCTTTTGATGCTTCTGAGGAGGTGGGTTGCTAGAAGTGGGTTGGCGCTGCCCTTTTCTGGGAGATGCAAGTGTGGTCTTGTGGTCACCTGCCCTCCAGGGGTCTTCTCTGGAATGACCAGACCCCGCCTAGAGACCTTGTCTGGCTGGGACAGGCAGGAGGATCCCTTGGGTGCTGGAGCTGGCGCAGAGTCAAACCACAGCAGGCTCTGTCCTTTGCAAACGATGATGCGACTCTGCTCTGGGGCTGGCCTGGAGGTCCAGGGCCCCCCATCTGGCACCAGGCCTCCTGCCTCCCTTTGCCACCTTGCGTCCTCCTGGGGGCTTTCCCTTGCTCACCTGATTTGGGTCAGACACCAGGCTCCGCGTCCCAAGCACAAAGGAGAGGTCCCCCTGCTCCTCTCCCCACCTTCCTCCCCCACATCCCTATTACTGTGCCAGGGGCTTTGGGTTTCTGAAGGCAGGAGTGTGGGGGTTGCCAGGAGTTGCCCAGCTTGCCGGCACAGGGGGAGCAAGTGTTGGGGTTCCTCTCCTTTCTTTGGTTTTCTTTCTTCACATTTCCAAGCTATGCAGCTGCGAGGGGAGGGGGAGCCTTCGTCCAGGCCAGGAGACGCAGGCGGAAGCCAGAGAGTGGGAAGACAGGGCAGGTCCCAGCAGGCTGCTTGCCCATCAGTGGGAACCCAACCCTTCGGGGTCCTGCCCATTGGCTGGTGGGTGTGGTGGGCCTGCCCCCCAAGGCCCAGCCTCTTCCTTTGTGGGTGCGAGCTCTCGGGAGCACCTCTTGGTCTTCGTCTACTCTATGCAAAGCCACTCTGCAGGCAGCTGCAGGAGGTTTTCTGCAAAATCTTGGGAGGGCCTGTAGCCCTGCCCCCTGCAGCCTGCAGAGCCTCTGTGCTTCCTTCCTTGCTTGCTTCTTAGGCAGAAGTCTAAGCAATGGTGCTTTCATGGGCTGCCGCCCTCCTCCGCCCGCTTCCTGGTGGTGCCAGGCGCTGCAGCCTCCAGCCTTCTCAGAATGCCAGTTCTTCCCTTGAGGGGGGAAGAGGGGGCTCCCTGCAGGGCCCCTTTGGCCTCAAGTTCCACGTTCAGCAAAGCCTCACCCCTCTGCCCCCACCCTGGCTCTCACCTCACTCCTCTGCTCCCCGTGAGGAGGAATCGACCAGGTTTGTCGCTTATATGGGGAAATTCAGGAAGGATCATATCTCTGCACCCCAGGAATCTGTCCCCTGTGGAGCCCCTCCTAGTTCGTCGTCCTCCTTGTCGTGTTTGTGCATGTCTGAGTGACAACACTGCTTCTCACAGTGAGCAATAAGCGTTCGGTGTGATGCCACGTACAAGCCCCCCCCACTCACACACACACACACACACACACACCCCTCGCCAAGAGAGGGCCCTTCCATTTGACTCCAGGCTGCAGAGGTCCCTGAGCGCCCTGGGCTTTGGTCTCTGTGGGGCCAGAGCTGGCCAGAGCATGCTGCCCGCTCCCCTCCTGCGCCAAGGCCCTCGCCCAATCTAGGGTCATGCTGGAGAACTGAAAGGGCTGGGGGAGGGGGGTTTCCAGAGGCCCCTCCCCCACCTGCCTGTGTCCATTGGGGGCCTTGTGGTCCATCTGCTCTGCCCCTTGGTCATGCGTTCTTGTGGGGAGGATCCTGGCACACACACACACAAAGACACATGCTGCCTCCCTGCCTGTCCAAAGCTGGCTGGTCCTCTGCACTCTCTGATCTTTATGCAGCGTTTGCCATGTTTGGCCTATATGGACTTTTTTGTAAATTAAAACTCCCGTTTCCAGACAGCATTAAACTTTTTATATTACAAAGTTTACCATGTAAAAAGAATTTCATATTTTTATTGCAATTCCTAAGGCATTTGGCCGCCTCCTTTGTGATTTCCTTTGTGTCTATTAAAGCATGAGATCTCTCGGCTCCTGTGATCCTTGTCTGACATAACTGGCTCTTGGCTTCCCCAGCAGCGCACAAAGGAGGGTGGGGGAGCTTGGGCTGCTGAGCTGGAAGTGGGGAGCGGCAGCCACGGCTGTCCTGCACCTCGACTCTGTGGGGCCCACCCCTTCCTTCATCCTCTCCCTCTGACCCAGCGTGGGCTTCCTTGTCCAAGACGCAAGAGGGGTTCATGTCTCCCCTCGAACTCTGCCATTGAACAGGATGCCAGGCAGATGTCGGGCCCCCTCTTGGGAGGAGCCCAGCAGCTTGCTTCCACTCCCACTCAGACTTTCTCCCAGCTCCTCCTTCCAGGGGTGCTTTCTGCTGGGAAATTGTGTTGCAGCCTCCGGCTGAGCAAGGGGGAACTGGCAGCCGCCTGTTGTTCTCGCAAGGGCAGCCACTCTGGCCCCTGGCACACGCAAAGGCACTTGGAGGGCCAGGAGGGGGTGGGGTGTTGTTACGATGAAATGTTGATGCTTGCTTACCAAATTGCACCTGCAAATGAACAAAAGCAATGGATGGGTTGGCATTGGAAGTCTGCCTTCACAAGCGCTGTCTGTCTGTCAATGAATCCCACTTGCAAAGGAACTGTGGAGAGTTCACTTCACGCTCCAAATGGTTCCCTTGGAGCTACACCCATGCCTGTCCCACACGTGGTGTCAGATGTGGGGCAGGTGGCCATGGTTTGGCAAAAACAGCCTGGTGGACTGAAGGCTCTCCATCCTTGGGCTAGCTGCTCCCTCAGCAGCCCCAGCTCCTGTTGGGGACAAGATCCGATACCTTCCAGCCCCCAAGCTCCTAGGGAAATTCCCTCACATTCAAACACCTGCCCCCAGTTGCCTGGTGGGTTTTCAAAGGCCTGTGTCTTGCCCTACCACAAAGTTGTTGCTGGAGTCATTACCTGGTTCCTTTCTCATTCGAAAGCCCTTGACTTGCTCTCACTGTCTCTGTGGGAACATGTGATATTTCTGAACCTGTATTTTAAAGTAGCAATTCCTGTAAAATGCTGGGCTGGTGGACTGGAAGTAACTTTATCCAGAAAGCAGCTTCCTCTGCTGATGTCTGTGTAGGAGACATATTCTAGGCACAGGCAGAAGAAAATGCAATTACATTTTATTGCAAAGAATGTAAAACAGATATTTTTTTTTAGTAACAAAATTAGCTGTCTGAATTACCTAGGGGTGTATTTAATAGTCTCTCACACATGTGAAATGTAATAAAAGACACCAAAGTTTATTAAGCATGATCAAAATTGTATCTTAATTACTAGCTTCATTTTCTGAGGCAATGAGAAATGAAATGGACACAGAAATCAGTTATACAAATGGTGCTTTCTGTCTCTCTTAAAGGCCAATCAAACGCAGGAGTTGTTTTACCCCACACAGATGGTTCCTGGCTTACATCTCCTAATGCTTCTAGCAGTTTTCAGGCCTTGGCATTAAATGGGGCCAGGATCTCCAGAGCTGATTGTGAGGAGGATTTGAGAAGAATTGAGGGGAACAAATGACAGTAATGGCTGACATCGGTTACCCTCACATAGACTGGCTATGCATGTGTTGCAGTCTTGACAAAGAAGTAACAGTTCTAGATACCCTAAATGACCTAGACGTGGCCTAGAACGGGGGCCTTGGAGCAGACTAGGAGGCGTTGGCACAGCACTTCGTGCCCAGGACCTGCTGGGAGACATGCGGTTGAACCAACTGGGAGTGGTGACCATCGTGTTACCAGATTTAATCTATATGTAAATGGACAATTGCCAGGAAAATCAACAAAGTTGACCAGTTAACTTGAAAGAAGGAAACTTAGCCAATATGAGAGTATTGCTTAAAAAAGGAAGTTGAAAGGCAAAGTCAAGAGGGTCAGATCTCTTCAAGGTGCTTGAGAATTGTTTAAAAACACAGGATTAGAAGCTCAGTGAGAAAATATACCACAGATCAGGAAAGGTATTACAGAGCACAAGAGGACGCTGGTATGGTTAACAGTCGAAGTCAAAAGCACCCATCGAGGCAAGAAGGCTTCATTCAAAAATAAAAGTCACGTCCAAGTGAAGATAACAAAAAGGCACACAAACCTTGGCAAAAGAAGTGAAAGCAAGAAAGTGTGGGATGCTTAAAAAAACCCAACAACTTGAGGAACACTTTGCTAAAAAACATTTAAGATCACCAATGGGAATATATTAGTTTCAGGAGACGGTCTAGGGAGGCAGCTGGGCTTTGGGATGACCTTGGACACAACGGTGTACTAAAGAAGAGTGAGGAGACTGCAGAGAAGGGGAAGGCTGCCTTTGCACCTGTCTTCACAATGAAAGCTCTAGGACAGATCCCTGTGCCTGAACTAACTTTTGCCGGAAGGGAGTCTGAGGAACTGAGCCACATGAGGACGAGAAACGAAGTTCTGGGCCTTGAAGACAAAATAGAAACTGGCACCCACCTCAGAGTTGTTGAAGAACCCAGCACCTACTTTGCCTGTCTTCACCCCAAAGGAAAGCAGTGCCCAAACTGCTGATAACAGAATTAATGATGCCAGGAAGGAGCTGAAGCCCAAGATAGGAAAATAGGTGGTAAGGGAATACTTGGCTACTTTAAATGAATTCAGATCTCCAGGGCCTGATGAGCTGAACCAAGGATGCTAAAGAGTTTGAGGATGTAATCTCGGAGCCTCTCAGCTCTGAGAATTCTTGGAGAACAGGTGAGGTCTCTGCAGACTGGAGGCGGGCAAATGTCCCCATCTTCAAAAAAGGGGGGGAAGAAGACCCAGGTAACTACCAACCGGTGAGTTTGACATTGATACCAGGATAGGTCCTACAACAGATAATTCAACAGTCAGACTGTGAGCAATTGGAAAAGGATGCTGTGACTACTAAGACCCAGCATCGGTTTCTCAAAAGCAAATTATGCCAGATGAATCATTTTTAAAATAGTAGTAGTAGTAGTAGTAGTTATTTATTATTTATACCCTGCCCATCTGGCTGGGGTTATGAGCTTGGTGGATTGGGGAATTGTGTGGACGTAATGTGTCTTGGTTTCAGTAAGGCTTTTGACAAAGTCTCCCATGATATTCTTGTGAGGAAGCTGGTAAAACGTGCACTGGATGAGTAAACTGAGGGGGATTTGTAGCTGGTTGACTGACCGAACCCGAAAAGAGCTCACTAATAGGTCCCCATCATCCTGGAAAAAAGTGTCAAGTGGGGTGCCCCAGGGTTCTGTCCTGGCTTCTTCTTGTTCAATGTCTTTATAACCTACTAGGACAAAGGAATTGAGGAGATGCTCATCAAATTTGTAGATGACACCAAACTGGGAGGCGTAGCTAATGCCCCAGAAGACAGAATTAGACTTCAAGATGACTAACAGACTGGAGAATGAAGCCAAAACTAACAAAATGAATTTCATTGGAGACAAACCTGAGCAGGAATAACTAGTTGCACATATACAAGATGGGGGACACCTGGCGTTTAAAAAATCATTTTATTTTATTTTTAAAGAACAGTATAATTGAACAAAAGAAAAGAAAGTTAATTACAATTCCATATATGCTCATATCTGTAATATACCGGTACTTACAGAAATAGGTAACTTGTCCCTCAGATCCGCCTCCATCCCTCTGCAGCGGGAGGCAGCGAATGCTCCAGGGTGTCCATCGCTAGGAATGGCCAGTGTGGGGACCACGGTTGCATTCATGCCAACTTGTAGGCTCCCCAGAAGAAGCCCCGGGTTGGCCACTGTGGGAACCGGATGCTGAAATAAATGGGCCCCCTTTGTCCTAATGTAAGGAGAGAGTTTTTGAGCAAGTGCAGAACATGTGCAGGCTCACAAGGTGTTACTAGTGTTGCCAAGAAGGCCCTTTCCTCACCTCAGGGAAGACAGGCACAGCTGTAAGGCTCAGACTTTTGCTACAGCAGAAGCAAGCAGGAAAGAGGGGAAAGAGGAACTAAAACTCAACTATATGTGCCAAGTTACTCTATGGGACTTGGGTACCCAAATTCTTTTCCTCTGGGGGCCCAGCCCCCTCAGTACTTCTCCTGCCCCACCTGCACCCACCACTGCCCATCTCTCCTCCCCCTCTTGCTTGCAGTTTCCTACCGTGTGGCCTGGCGTGGAGAAGCCAAGCAGGAGCACACGGGCTGAAGGAGCTGCCGGGGCCAAGCAGCCGCCACATTTGGCTCTGCCCCATGTCATGACATCATGCGTGTGACATCAGGGCATTGTACAGAGCCCCCCCAATCATGTAAAGAAGATGGTGCCTCTGCCCACAACTCAGGGAAGCCACTTCCTCTAGTTCTAGTGGGTTTTGAGACTTGTTTATCCCAACCAACTGAAGGCACACATGATGAATTCCCACTGCCAC